TATATATTATTTTTTAAAATACATTTTGTGGTTTCCCCCGCACCACCTGTGCAGTGTCCCTTAACCATTACTTTAACATGACTTCTTCTAAAATGTCAATTACAGCAAAATACTTGGTTTGTGTAAAAAAAAAAAAAACAAACAAACAAAAAAAACCCTCATATGTTGACTTTTCAGCTTGTTTGATTTCAGTAAAAATATTATGTGTATTTTTTTGTATTCAAGTCTAATTATACATCAGAATACTGACTATATCCCTGGTTTACATTTTTAGGGTAACCAATCATCTGCCCTGGCCCCCTTTAGTGTTATGACCCAATTTTTGTGATTTTTATTTTATTTTTTATTTTCTTGTTTTTGGCTTCCTCTTCTGGGAGGCATCTCTTCACTAATTTTTTTGGCTCAGAAATGCTATCTTGTGGTTTCATCTACATTATAACCTCTGGAAGAACTAAGGAAAAGATTTGCTAGAAATCCCAGCTGCGTGAGTTACGGGGAAGCCTTGCATGCCAGCGCCTGTTCTGCCGTCTTGGAAACCGTATATCTCTCATGCTTAAAAGGCATGGAACCTTTTATGTTTAGGCAGATTAGCTATTTATATAAAATAAACATTATAAACAAAAGACATTGCCGTGTCTTACCGCTATGTGACCTTAAAGAAACTTTTTCTCAGCTCCACCCTGCAATATTTCCCAGGTGCAACAATTTATCATCTTCGATACCTTGTGTGTGGCTCCCTGTGTGTGGCGCACCCTTCGTTCTTTGACGTGGGACACTTTTCGGGACATTTGTAAAAATATTGGAAACAAGAAAGTGGGGCAGTGAAATATTCGCAACCAAGGGACTCCAAAGCAATGTTCTTTTAGGTTCCATGATTGTTCTACTTTTAGAATTTTGTCCAATTTTTTTAAAAATAATTATTAATGAGACTTTGTGTTTGCTGCTTTTGACCTGAAGTACAATGTTATGTGAATATCTTGTTATACTGTTCATACTTGGTTTCCCGCAATGAAGACCGTGTCTCTCTACTTTTACCCTGGAATTCCTTTGAATTGCCTTAGCGGATGCTATCATGTGATTCTCTGTATGTGCTACTCTGGATCAGTTTGTCAGCCTTTTAACACAGTCTGGTACTTTATTGTCAACCGCATAAATACAGCGTTCCCCTGGTATGTCACATGAGTGCGCACAGATTTACATTTTTTGTGATTGTCAAGAACACCACTGGTTTTGGGTTTGATCAGGAACAAGGATATTCTAAGATTTGGAAGGTTACTTCGTTACCTGCTGTTATTCACTCACATAATGGTAATAAATAAGAGCAAAAACAAGTCTTTTATGCCCATTAAGTAATTTGAAAACATGTTCACTGCTGTATGAATATACATTAGCCAGTTTTTTATTAAGAGAGCTACATGTTTGTCCCAGCAAGCATTCTAAGCTTTGCATTTTACAACTGAAGGTATTACCAAGCTTCCCCATCCTCCAACTACGTTACTTTTATAACAAAAAGTCCACAGTAGAACTAAACTTCGGCAGAGACTCATGGTATGGACTGCTATCTGTTCTAAATAATTCAGATTAGCATGTTATCCCCCTTACATAAAAGGTTTGTCAATAGCTACCTGCACTGGAGTACATTGATGCAGTGAGTGTGTCTCCTCCTTTATGATGTGAGTGTGCGTGGCCCTCTCTCTAATACTTTGCCTGTCTCCTGCACCGTTTCCTCATTTGCTGTCTACATTCTCTTTGCCTGTAGATTCTTTCCAACTTTTGGCCTTGAACTGTGCGTAGTCTTTCTAACGTGACCTGGTAATATCTCTACATGAATGCTTGCTTATAGCTCTTTCAGCACATCTTGCTCTAATATAACCAAACGTGCCCTGAGGTTCTATCCCCTGTAGGCCAATGCCCTGGCCGCCTTTCCTCTGACTCAAGAGCTGACATCCTGTTTGAGGCAGTGGACCCAATTCTTTGTGTTATCTGGCCTTGGACTTTTATACATTTGCTGTGAATGAAGTTCAGAGATTCCATAAGTACAATAAAATTGCATTTTATTTTTATTTTTACCTGCCAGCGTGGAATGTTTTTGGTACATAATTAAGGGGCACGACGACACACAAAATAACCAATTATTGTCCCAGTGCCCTGAGCTGTGGTGACCCTATTCTTCTGATATTAAATGCCTTATGATGAAGATTAAGCTATATGTACAGTGCATGCTTTTGTAAGGATTATTGCTAGGATTTTTAAGCACAGAGGTTCCACAGAACATCGTTCATCAATTAAATTTCAACTTTGTCTCACTTGATGATTTATATTTTAATTTATATGTAATAATTACATTTGTCTGGCTTTTCAAGATTACATTCCAAGTCTCTAAATACTCTGTGAAATTAATGTGCCCCCAACATTGATGAGGTTATAGAAATGACATATTAAAGTCAAACTGCAGTACTAAATCTGTCCACTGTGTGACATCAAACTTCCACGGACAAGAGAATACCATAAAAAAAAAAATAAAAAAAAAAAAGTATATTAAATAATGCAAAGACTTGGATTAAAATAGTCTTTTGCGAAAAAAACCCCAGAAACTATATTAAAATATGCCTGTGTTACGTTGACTAGTTTTAAAAATAGTTTAGCATCACCACTTATAGAAACGCAATATTTTTCTCTTTATAATATAGAACATTTTGTCAGATTATCTACATTGGGTCGTCACTCTGATCCTCTCCTTACTAAAAAGAAGTCCGCATAGTATCTGTACAGTGCAGAGTTGCAAACATTCTGGAATCTCAGGGCTACATGCTCCTGAAATTTCAGTTGTTGCCCTGCGTCGGTGCTGCATAATCTTTTAATGGGGTTAGCCACATATAACTTTACGTTACTGACTGAGTTGCCAAATCCTATTTGAAGTGGTTTTTCCGCATGATACGTTTTTCGTTTCTTTCATGAATCGGTTATATACAATTTTCCCAGCAGATTAATTTTATTTTATTTACCTGGACTGAGTTTTTTTTTTTTTTTTTAGTTTTATTTATTTTTATATTATTTGAAACCATTTTTTATTGTGGAGATAGCCAACTTTAAATGAAATGATTTTAAAACTGCAGTGTACTTTGAGCTGCACAAACCAAAGAACGACTGTTAAAAAAAAAAAAAGCCTGCCAACTGCCAATCATAATCTTTGGATTTTTTTTTGTTGTTGTTGTTGTTGTGCTGAGTACCTACCAACATTCCACTGTGCACGGCAATGCAAAGTCTGCTCTGATTTTATTACAAAAAAAAAAAACATTAAAGGAAGTCCATGTTTATAATAAATAGGATATAAATATATTAATTTTTTTTAATCAACTGCTGAACGATTTAGAACTCTATTACTGTACTTTGTGGATTCCTAGGTCTTTGGGATTCAAGGTTTATTGAAAATATGGTATTGGGTTCTATATATGATGAATATTCTGCTACTGCCTGTACATAAGTGTGTGCCTGTTCTTAAATAAAGAATTTTAAAAAATGCTTTGTATTCATATATTAAGAAAAACCAAACGGTTGGCTAGTGCTATTCTATATCATGATTTGTATATATTCTGTTCTGTCAGTTACTTGATGCAATATTCTTTTCGACGGCTGTTTCTTGTACTATTATAGGGTAATGGTACTCGTTGTTGAATTTTATAATTTTCCAGCTTGTGGATATCCATTGAATATTTTTTTAAAATAGTTTTTTACATATTTTTAAAATGTTCTTTTGATATAATTGCAAAGAAAGTGAAAAAATGCAGTGCCATTTGTTTTATTAGTACATTCTAGTGTTTCCGTAATGCTGTAGTGGTAATGGTGTCTCGATTGTCCTTTTTAGTGGCATAGCCTAAAGCAAATCATTTGTGCAAGACAGCCTACACAGTTCTGTGAAAAGATGTAGGAAAAAGTACTTCCCAGTTGATCAGAGTTGGCTACTAAAAATTAACCCATAGACGGTCCAAAGCCTTGCATTAGGTAACTGCAAGTAGAACAGTGTTATTACTTAATACATTCTAAAGGTTCATATATTTATTCCAACATAGCCAGGATGTGCTATTTCAATGTGTTAAATATGGAAAATAATACAGGAATGCAGGGAGTTCAGAATAATTTAAACAATGTATTTGACAAATGTGTGTGTATATCTATATGTTATTGATTTTTAAATTGGTTTAGATAGGGATAATGTAATTGGTTTAGATGGAGATAATGGAGCTATTGGACACACTGGCTTAGTACAAATAACAATGGTGAGTAGACACTAACGGCAAGCAGCAATTTCTAATGGAATAGGCTTGGGACACTCCTAATTTTTATTATTTACAGCCGAGGAATCTACATGTTGGTGATAAAGCACATCTAATTTTGGAGAGATCCTAAAGACTTGGTAACTGTCATTTTTACCAGGCTGCAGCTAACTTCCTCATTTTTAAAATGTATTTATTTGTAACTTTTTAATTTTTTTTTTTTAAATATTAAGCTACAATGAGGTTTCCCATGTGCTCGTTTAAAAAAATATATATATATATATATATATATATACGCACACGTGTGAAATATGTCGGGGTAATTCCATTAATCCAAGGCAAAACTGATAGTGGTGCAAATACGTGGTAAAGCAAATAGCAGAAAATGGCAAAGAATATAATTGGCAACTCCATAGGAGCCTGTAACTTATGTAAGCATGGGTAGTTGTTGATGAGCAGTGCCCACAAGTTTCTGTGAGCAGCCCTCTCCAAAGCTGCCTGTCACTCTGAGCTGTGACCTCTGTCAGTGGAGGGACCGTTAGGCCCAGTCCTTGTAAAAATGACACTGTATCACCCCCAGAAGATAATGTGAGCAGTACCTGATAACGCAAGAAAACCTTTCACTCCCCATCTGTATTTAATGGAGTTTTCTCTCAGCCTACTGGCGAGCAGGGCCAACAATTTATTTTTGGTTAGAATCAAAAATGGGGGATCTCCATAAAGTGCCTATGAACAACCTTTGAATTGCACAGTTCCCAGTGCTCTGGAACGGTTCATCATTGCAGTTCTCACCGCCACGTCTCTAGGGGTTTCCGCAGGAGCTGCGGCAGACTTGCATACTCGGAATGCTGACATTATATGCGGTGTCTCCGCTGGCCCCTTGAAGCCCATGGAGTTAATCAACGTCTGTACAAACTGTAGCAATGCCTCCCCTCCTTCTTGTTCTGGTATACCACGTAGGCGTATATTCCGATAACCATTTGCTTTAGGTGTTGGACTTGTGAGCCCTTCTAGCTGGATCTTGGGTTTCCCTGAGTTGGTCATCTCACATCTTCTCCCTTTCCTCCACTTCTTGCACCCTCTCATAGATAATTTCAGTCTGGGTTTCCAGAAGATCTGCCTTCCACACCTGTCTGAGATTGAACAGTAATCTTTTTATTCACCTTTTGCTGCAGGGTAAGAGTCATCGTTAATTTGTAGACTCCCCCTGGTCGGGACTGGATAATATATTCCTCCTTTTGGTGTGACTCTTCTAAAGGCTTGGGTTTGTTCTGGGCCTTGGGTGCCATCTTTAGAGGCAACAGCGGAGGCCTCTTGAATGAGAGCCTGGCGTAGGGCGTTCCCTGTCTCTATGGGCACAAGGGTCGCCTATTCTTGCATCCCATATTGTCTTCTGGGGGGTATTTGAGAAATTTCACCTGCGGATTAATTTTATTTGCGGCAAGTTGCTGTTTTTCTGGTTGTTACAGAGCCTCTCTGAAACGTGACTAAACAGCAACTCAGTCAGCTATGCCCCCCCCCCCTCCCAAATTTCCCCATTTTAAAATAAACTAACTCAAATAAAATCTGTATTATTAAAATAACAGAAACCTTGCACCATTAATGTCATAAATATGCTTCAGGCATTGGTTAATTTGAGGAACTGTAAGTGTCCAATCCTGAAAAGGACTTATCATTGCAAAACAAAAAGCGGGTTTCTCATAATCTCGTCTTATGTCAGAGAGTTACACTGTGACCATCACCCTTTTCTTGGAGTATTACTATCATTCCAAATTAAGGTTATGAAGAAATAAAATGTTTCCATAGGATAACACTGAGTCAAATAAATTCAAGGTGTCGGGACTGTTTTGGAAAAGAGAGAGGAACAGAGTACCTCTTTCCAATGTAAATTAGCCAATGCTCCTAGATGATATGGTGCTTGATATTTTTAACTATCGCCAGTTTTTGTAACTAGAGTATGATCAGGTAACAAGACCTATGTAGGATAAGTTAGATAGCCTTATTAGGTAAACTGGCAGTTATCAAGCTATATCGGATTAAACTGTAAACATCATATTTTTTTTTCCAAGGAGGACCTTCTCATAGTTTTAATTGCAATATATGCTGCAGCTATAAGTCCAACCAGGTCTCTTGGTTCTGTCACTGAAAGAAACCATGCTTCCTCCTGCTTATGCAAGTGTTACTGTACTTACTATGTATGTAGGCAGTATGGGAAATAAATAAATTTATGGAATTAATATGAAAATCACTTCAACTCCAAAAGAGCCCTTCTCGAGCTGAATGTGTGCCTTCTCACTTCTGAATTTGTTCATATTTCATATCGATTAATTTACAGCAGTCCAAACTATTTCTATTGTAACCAGAAGAGTTATCTCCAATAGCATGCTTGTAATCAATATTGTTCATGGGCCACATATTTATATTTTGGATTAGAACATGCTCAGGGTGCACTGTGTCATAGTGTCAGACTTGGCACAGGTCTCTCTTACACTAAAATAACAAGTTGTTTGTTCCCTGGGGAAACTCTGCTATGAGCGAACATTGTTTTCATAGGCTGTACCCTTCTAGATTAAGAGGAATTAGTGGAGGTTGGCCAAGGGCCACCGATTTCAGGATATTTTGAAAGATCCTGGTCTCTGGTTAACTGTACACTTGTAACATTACCACTTGAACACCTTCCATTCACCTGCACACAGTGGAGACATGGTATCTGTTTAGAAATTACTTAAATATCTACAAAATTACAAATACAAAAGCACAAAGTCAACAAAAAGTCAGCAAAGTCCTAAACCAGAGAAACTGAATGACGTTTAAAAACCTGATCTAAATTCAGAGAGAATTTTCTAGTCAATATAAATGTGTTAAGAGCATTCTGAGCTCCCTGGCCGTTTCATATGTAGAGATTTGTTTAGTACATTTCAACAACATTTTGTGAAGTGTTTCGATTTCTAATTGGTAAAAAAAAAATGCGGAATATTCCCTCAGTGAAAGAAAATCTACGCTAGTCTAATCCACCTCTTATGATGTCATTATTACTGATAATTACTTGTAATTGTCATTCCTGATAACAATCGGATGCTTCTCATGGATAAACATTGAAACCAATGCTTCTCTAAGAGAAACCCTCAATTCCACTTTTAAATACGTGAATAAATAAAATCACTTAACACTTTTTTTTATAAATATGAAGGATATTTAGGAAAGTGACTTGAAAGTGGTTGGATCTTGAAATTTGCACTTTTATAAAATTAAGACAGATGGGACTGAACTTTTGGGGCAGACAATTACATTTAACTAATAATTGGTCTTTGCTAATATATGCACTTAGATTCTAGGTATACAACACTAAAGCATACCACAAATGACTAATATTTTCTGATACAGAAGAAATGATAAAATCCACAGCTTTCACCTCTGGGAAATGCCTGCTACTCATTGTGCAATGCTAAAATACCACTCTGTTTTTATATATTTTTTTTCTTTATTTTGTATTATTTACATACTATGTGAAGTTGAAAAGGCACAGCCTGGCATACGATATTAATCACATGATATCCCATAATGCGGAGTAGATAAGTCTTTACATTACAGAATACAATGATTCTCTAGTGTTATCTGTTATGTGCCTGTTCGAATTCCCTTTTCTTGCTGGGAATTATAACTGATGGAGCAACTGAGATATAAGGAGAGATTTCAAAAAGTGTTGTGGTCCTAAAGTGATTTAGAGTTGTAAAATTAGAGCAATCAGCAATGAAAAGCTGGTTCCATTGGTTTCCATGGTGACTGGTACACATTAGAACTTTACATCACATTAATAAATATCTGATTTTGCTCTGTCCTTCTGAAGGAATGTTGCCTCTCAGTTCAATTTCAGATTTGAAAACCGGAGTAATTTATTTAGACCACCGAATGGAAACAGTCACAGAGATCATATGTAATCGCCCAGTCCAGCTACTCCCTGTCGGCCTAAATTAGGTTTTTGATGAAAGCTCAAATAATATTTACAGTATCATTTTTTTTCAATATTCTGCATACTAATTACCTAACCAAATGTTCCTGGTATTTTTAAGCAGCTGTCCTCTGATCACTGTAATAGAATTGATAATCCATCTCTCTGTTAAGACATTTGTTGTATCCAGTTTTTTAGACAGGTGTGTTGATTCAAGACCTGGAAATATTAACATATTAATTATGTTATTTATTAAGCCTTAATAATCGGTGGGTTGTGTGTCTTTTTCTTCTATTCTTTTTCCCCTCTGTCTTTTTTAAAAAAAATTTTTTCTTTAACTCCATTCCCACAGTTTAATGTCTAAATCCAAATTCATAAAGGAACTAGGTTCTGGTTGTCTTGAGCTATGGGATTCATAGAGATTTCAACACAAGCCCCTTTAATCAGCATAACACTGTCATTAATATTCATTAAGTCAGCAGGAATTCGCGTGGACCGAAGATAACTCCTTGCACCTCCTCCTTAGTAAACGAGCAACATTATTAAAAGCATCTTAAAAAATTAATGGAGTTTTAGAAAGTAGGGGAAAAAGTACACCATTGTGCAGATGTGGGGGTGAGACCATATCTAGGATGTCGTGTTGTCTCGAGATGTGCCGCTGGGTAGCCACTAGCCGTAGCCTGCCGTATGGGCAGCCATTTAACAGGATTTGCATGCGTTGGCACATCAGTGCTCAACGCGAATAATAAGCAGCCTTCAAAAGTAATTAAACTTAGAGTGTACAAGGTATGAATTAGAAAACAAGTCATTGAAATACAAAGCTGCACGAAATGTGACTGACATTGCAAACTGTGAATGTCGAATGTAACGCCTTCTTGCAAGTTAATACATTTTTCACTATGTATAAGATTTTTGTTTTATTTAAGAGTTGCTGTCATCTTCCAGTAAGACTTTCATTTCAATTGGTCTCCTCACCATAAATGATTAGTCTCTAAGTAGAAAGTCGGATGTTACACCAAGACCAGATTCACGTGGATTTTTAGTACAATATTCACATTGTTAGTGTTCGAAGATAACGTGAAATACTGACTATGTAATGGTTAATGTTTAGAATTGTCTTCTAAGACTTCTTTTGATGTAGCTGGTCTTCAAGTAAGTTGTCTACAGACCATATTCTGAGAATTCGCTCACAAGTAACTGGCAGCTTATGGTAGTTTTTTTTTAATTTTTATTTTTGATCTTATAACCAGTGCTTATGTGGTAAGAGGTGAATCTATTCAACTCTTTCCTGACTGGCAGTTAGGTACCAAGTGGCCTATTCCTGACCGATCCCACCACATAAAAAATCAGTTTCACTGCTGCCTTCAGGACAGGAGGTCCACATTTTGAACAGACAAAGAAGAAGGATACTGATTGCCAAAATGCAATATTCCCAACTTCTGTTTAATTCCAAAGCTAAAATACATAAACACATTAGTATTTGCCTTTTCTAGCTTTTTAATTTAATTTAAATTAACTTTTTTGGGGGATGTGGGGGGGGGGGACTGTTTTATCTGTTTGTTGAATTCCCCATTGTAGATCACATGTGGCAAAGTCTTGAGATAAAAGCTGTTCAGGAGACCATAATGGTGATAACCTTTTGTGTTACATCAATTATTTATAACCGCTTTCTATGGACTTTAAGCTGTTTTTTTTTTTCTTTATTTGTTTTCTTTATTTATTTAGGAGTACAGGCAGACATGCAGTTTTATACACGATCATAATATGATAGTACAGTGTATTATAAATGTTTTATTTCTCCTGTAAATATTCTATAAGAAAAAGAAAATAAATGCCTTCTTTAGCTTTGAGTTGGCCAAGGGTGCCTTGTCAACAATTGTTCATTACTGATCTATACAAAGTAAGTAAATATAGGGCTATAGAAAGAAGATATCAGATGTAAGGCAAATGTAATCTAAGGTAAATAAAGTCATTCAGCTGTAAATGTGGAGTATTTAGAAATACCTCTATTAAGCAGAATGTGCTCCATGGCATACAGCGTGGTAAATAAAACTAAAGTTGCCACTATGCTTCTCACTTGCATTGAAGGGACAGT